ATATATATATTTTATGTCTTTCATGGGGTGGAGGGGATATTTTTCTTTTACACATTCTACCTTCTATACGGTCATATAAAATGTGGCACAGTTACGTTGTTGTTTTTTTCTCTCTCTCTTTTGTGAAACCATATTCTTGTTTTTTGTTTTGTCCTAACAGTCATGGAGACCTCTAATTTGCCTCTAATTTCGTTTGTTTTGCTCTTGTTATTTGATGAACCAGGTAACACTGCCTAACCGGGCCAGTTACACCTCAGACATAGCCTGAAGTCTAGAAGGGACATGGGTTTCCTGGGACATACATGTGGTTAATGACCAGAGATTGAAAATAGTTTCTAAATTATTCATCCAGATTAATAGAAATAAGGTAATATTTTTTAAAAAATTATCTTCTCATTTTCACTGTGTATTCAGATAGCAATTATGAGAAGATGCTAATGTACAAAATTTTGTACATATTTATACTGGGCGATATTTACTTGTCCTTAAGTGTAAACTGAGGAAAAAGAAAAAAATTTGATAACATGTTATTTTCAGTATTTATATTGTGTCATCTCCCCTCCCACCCAATTCCTTCCATTGTATCCTAGATTAGAACTAAGTATTGTTTTCTGTGGGTGTTTTTTGTTTATTTGTTTGCTCTTTAGATTTTTTCTCCCCTTCCCATCACCTACCTTTGCCCTTGAGAAGAGAGGAAAATAACAAGGCATCTTATTTTAATCATTTTTTAGCATTTAGATGATGTGTAGTCATTTTGAAGAGAAAGAAAACTCTATCAGGCAGAATTGACACAGCAACGTTATGGGCTTTTACCAGCAGTTGTTAGTGCTAACGACATTCCCCCAGTTGCTGGTTTTAGGTAGCAGCAGGCCCATACTAGCAGCGTGCCGATGTCCCCAGCACAGCTGTATTTCTGCCATTCCATCAGGTTTGTGTGCACCTGGGATCAGCCACACCCAATTGCTATCAGTCAACAGTGTATCATGCGGTATTTTTTTTTTTTTTAATTCATGATTTCCTCTTGAAACTAAACCAAAGAGTGTTAACTGTGTGTGTTTTTAAATTCAGTTTTGTATGCTAGCATTCTTTAAATGTCTGCCAGAAGTTTAATTTGAATTTCTGATCCCTGAAGGCAGCTAGACAGAATCATTCTAGTTCTTCATAAATTGCCTTCTATGATTCATTGTTAACTCGTAAAACATACTCATTTCTATATACTCAAGCAGTTCAGGCAGTTACAGTATTGGGCATAGAATATATATATATTTTTTTTTTTGCGTTATATTTAAATTGTCATTTGGGAAAGAAACCAAGAATTAGCTTGAACTTCCAGTTAAGGCAGGAGCCCTGCAGCACACAAAACATCAGAAATTCATGCCTTTATCTCAAGATGGCCTGGGATTGAAAATAAAAAGTTTAGTTTTGACTGAGTACTCTCAAAGACGGGCCCATAAATATTAGAGCGCTGTAGTTAAAAACGCACATGACTGTTTTAAATACTATTGATTTAAACCACTGGCTGGATTTTATGAATCAAAGTGTAATTTCTAAGCTTTGCCCATATTTCTCAATGCTAAAGCACTCTCTCGTGTGTGCCTTTAGCCGCTTTCCAGACATTCAACACAGGATTAAATGATAGTAGTTACAGTGATCAATAGGTTAAGACCAGTACAATCACTCTAGCCGCTAATGACCTCAGTGGTAATGGGCAATAAAGTATGGGCTATAATAGCCTCTCACTGGTACTGCATGCCCTTTGATTCCTAGTATCAGTAGGGGCTAGCTACATGAAAAAGTTGGACATTGGGAGTTAAGGGAGTGGATATATAGGCTATAATTCTTAACTATTTAAAACCTAAATATGTACACAGTTTTTTGGTTTTTTTTCCTTTTTCTTTTCTTCTTTTTTTTACTGCACAGTGGTTTCTGGTCCATTTGAATATGTTTGTTAAAGCTTTCCACAAACTATTTTCATGACATGGTAGAGCAGAAACTTTGGAGAAATCTTGGTTTTATGTTACTTTTATAAATTAAGCCTGAGCCGCCTTCGGAGGCCCAGAGCTAATGGGTGTGAAAATGTGGTTTCAGAGAGTAAAAGCAAAGTGAGGGCCATCGGGCTATAATAACCCACTTGTGATTATTCGGAGGCCAATCATCCAGTTTGGAGAATTACCGGAGCTCCTTGCCTCTTCCCCTCCTTTGGCTGTGCCTGCTGCTTTAAGCATTTTATTACTCATCAGCACCTCCATCAAAATGTCCAAGGGGAAAAAAAGTGGGAAACTCAAGTTCATTTTCCAGCTCGGTAACAGGACTGCAAAAATTGAATAAATAACTATGAGAAAGGGAGGTTTAAGCTGTTGGCTATATATAAGGGTTTAAACATTATCTCTATACATTAGTCCTTTCCTTGATCCCCTTTATTCTTGAAAATTAATGGTCAGTGTTTAAGTGTTTAAGAAAATTGAGTTAGGTGTTTCTGGTTTAAGAAGAGACATCTAGTTTTACCAGATGTAAAAACAAACAAAAAACCTACCAATGATCTTAAATATTTTTTATACCTCTGCAATTATTTTTGTTGAGATCTAACTTATAGACAATAAAAATGCCCTCATCTTAATGGTACAATGAGAGGAGTTCTGACAGTTGTGTGTCCATGTGACCTCAGTCAGGTTACGGGACGTTTCCAGCACCCCTAAAAGTTCCCTTATGTGCCTTTCTAGCGTAGAATTTCCATGACCCTTTTAAAAAGTATGAGCGGGATACTGTTTCTCTGATGGTCTCTATTCTACTTCTGTTGAATTTATGTTCATTAACAGCTTCGATTTTTACACCACCCTATTCCTGTCTGTTTCCTGTTCATCACCATTAGAAATTTGGCTCAAGAATATTTGTATTGTACATAATCCAAGAAACGCAAAGGGAAAAAGAAACCTTAAACATGGTTCCTTTGTTTGCTTAATCAAACCTCCCATATGATGATGCAACTCTCAAGGAAAAGTAAACTTCTATTGTGATATATTGGCTTTAGCAGCTCAAGAGATAGTGATTGGCACTCAATCCATATTTAAAAATTCAAAAAGTTTCTTCTGTAAGAAGACAGAGTAGACTAGTTGGAAGTAATATGTACATGGTTAGATGTTTGGATAATGTCTTCTTGGTGTTTGCCCTAGACTTAATGCAAGTTCACTGTTCCAGTCATTGGTGATATTTCATGCTGTGAAGTATCTTTGTAAAAGGATAATTTATCCATTCGTATACATCTGTCCCTTTTTGCATATAAAAATATCCAGACATGCCCATCTGTTTTAAATTACAGTGTATCTTCATCTACACTTAAAAGTCCACAGCAGTAGGAGAAATTCGTTGATGACCTTCCAGGGTTGGGTTAATGAAATTTTTCAGAAGTTCTAGCCAGTGTTTGCTAAACAATGCAAAAGTTGCACATCAACATCCCCTCACACAAAACAAGCCCACAACAACAGTGGAGGATGTTCACTGTACATGAATCTGACCTTCAGGAACCATTTTTAGTTCATCAAAATTAGTGATGCTGAGAAATCGGGACATCAGTGCATAATGACTGTGAAATTAGGAATGAGAGCTCGCTATGCAAATGACAGGACAAATCATGTGAAAAAGTCAAGATAAACTGCATATTAAGACATTATGTTACATAAAATTAATACTGCATTTCTCTCTCTTGCTTACTGCTCCCCTGAAAGATTTTTTAATTCTTTTATCTTTTGATCATCTATTGTCTGCTGGATTTTTTTTTTAAGTGGCACACAGGCAAAGTGCAAAACATGTTATTACCTTTTATTGTAATGCATGAGATGACAGCCGATCCTTTTTAACAAAGTATATCCTTTACTGCTTCTAGCTTCATGCTGTCACATGTTTGATTAGAAACCAAAGAAAAGTAAGATGCTTAAATATTACTGTTAGAAGACATACGAGTTTTGTCTTTCCTTTCGCTGTTTTTTCTTTCCTTATCTTTTTTTTTGGGGGGGGGGATGGTTTTTCATGAAATAGTCTTCTTGCATTACAGGGACTGACAAAATGGTTCTCATGTAGTCTGCAAATTAAACAGAAGTGCAGTGATTATTTTGAATAGCTAAATTACATTCTAGAAAGCTTGCAGAATTCATAGCATTGTCATTAGGTATCCGCTTGAATACAATTTGTGTAACCTTGGCCAAGACAGCCTGTCATTTTAATGTCAGTGTTTTATCTGAACAAGACATCATCCTTTCAGATACACTGTGCAGGTTCCTTGCAGAGAGGCCCGTGCAGAAACGTGTTAACAGTTGCAAATATGAAATGCTATCAAGTTCATCACTGTAGCTGTTTGTCACTGAAATGTCATGGAAAGCGGCTTTTAATGGTATCGCACATAATATGAAAAAATTGAGACATCTGTATGCTGGGTAAAAAAGGAAGGGTAAAAGCCATCACAGGAAGGGTTTGTGTGTAAGTTCGGAAGGTGCGGCTAAGGTTCAGTTATCCAAGGTTCAAGACTAAGCATTCATTGATTATCCTTAAAATCACTGTGCATGGAACTTGTGGATCACATCAGCTTTAGCCATGAAAGTATTAGCTCCTATTTACCTTCCTCCAGAAAACAGAATTTAAGTTTGAGTTAACTTTGTATGGCTCATTTCGACTGAAGCCTCGTTCTTAGTAAGAGGTTGACATTGTTCTATCCTAACTCCAGGTAGCATTGACCAAACTTTTGTTCCTTGTCTACTTGCCAGACTGCCTGGAGTACTTGCTAGTGCTGCAGGGTTTTCTTGTCTTTTCTATTGTTTCTGTCATTTAAAAGAAACTCCATAATAGATGAAATAGGATTTGTTGCTGCATCATCCCCTCTGGATAAATGCATTTTGCATGGGGTATTGGTAAATTCTTTAAGGAGGCTGGTGACAGTCTGCTGCCTGAATCTGCAAGGCTACGTGTGAGAGATTTCCTGCCTTCCTATTTATCCTTCATTAACATTCTAGGTTCCCGTGTCAGTGGCTATGATGACACCTCAAGTCATCACTCCCCAGCAAATGCAGCAGATCCTCCAGCAACAAGTGCTGAGCCCTCAGCAGCTCCAGGTTCTCCTCCAGCAGCAACAGGCCCTCATGCTTCAACAGGTAATTGTCCCTCCTTGTCCGGTGTCCTGCAGAACCTGGGACCCAACACTCCCTACAGAATTCCCTGCTGATGAGCTGCATTGAAGAGTAAGTAGAGCAGAGTGGGTGGGGCAAGACACAGACTGGTCCCTGCATAATCGATTACATTTGCATCCCTGAAATTTTAGAGGCACGCTGCAAAGTGACTAGGGTTTGGGCCTGGAGAAGACCCGATGAACTGAGATTAGGGCTGTAATTGGACTTGGTAGAAATAAGATCTTTTAGACTTACGTGGCTTTACGCTCTTTTATTTGGTAAGCCCAGAGCCTTCCAAACGGTGTGAATCAAAGCAAAATGAGAAGCATGTTGGGAGCAAGTTTAAATATGACAGCTCTTGAAGTCCCCAGTTCAACTCAGAAGCTTAAAGATTTTTTTTTTCCTCCCAACATAAAGAAGCATTTTGGAGTTGGTTAATTTTAAGGCACAGAGTTGATTTCACTTCTTCCATGCATGCTGAGGGTGAAATAAACTCCTAGCTATCACTGTGCTGTAGAGCCCTACTATTCAGACTTAATGGGCACCTGTACCTAATAGAAGAGAGTGAGTGCCATGTTGGTGGCGGTCACTGAGATGGGGTGGTGGGGGCAGGATACGGAGGAAGTGACCCGTGCTGTTGCTGCACACATGGAACAAGACTCCATACCGCCCAAGCCTATCATTTAGAAAGCCTGCGTATGTCTCGCAGTAGAGATTCACCAGGCTCTCTCAGCAAGGGCATTTTGGCATTGTTGTTACAATCAAAGGTCATTCCTTGCCTTATTTTAATTAGTTTGTGTAGAAAATGGTATGTTTTTCCTCAGTTCATTTTGGAGATTACTTTTCAAACAATAATGCCAAGAATAGTCAGTTGTGTGTGGAATTTATCGTTGAGTTTCAAACTAAAGGTCAGGCCATTACAGATAAAAGGATGCTATTTTTCAAATCAGTTTGTGTATGGCACCAAAAGGGGATGGTGAATTGGCGCTACCCTCTGTTACTTATCGTCCTCTCTTTCCTTTGTAGCAGCAGCTTCAAGAGTTTTATAAAAAACAACAGGAACAGTTGCAGCTTCAACTTTTACAACAACAACATGCTGGAAAACAGCCTAAAGAGGTACTGACAATACATATTTTACTTTCAAACCACAGATCCCAGAGGACTATCTAGTGTCTATTAAACTGTCATTCATCTTTTAAATGATTGCACAACTCAGCTCACTCTATCGGTTGCTAGCTTTCAGACCAAGAATTATTGTCCTGTTTTTGCTTATATTTTTCTGGGTTCTTTGTGCTTGCTGGCACTCACAACACCACTGCACATGTACCTGGTGTGCACACTGGGCAAGGGATCATGGGCAGGACCTTCAAGGCTCCTTTTGCAAACTGGCACAAGTGAGAGTCAGGATGTACCTGGAGGACAGTGAAGAATTTTCAGTACAGTTTCACTTGTGCATGCATAAAAGTTTTATTTTCCCCCCTAGCTCAGAGAATCGGGGTGTTTGGCCATGGCCTCTTCTGTTAGAAGAGTAAATTGGACAAACAAAAAAGTTAGAACAACATTAGGCACCCTTCTCTTTTTTTTTTTTTAAATCTTCCTACCAGCGGACCTATTGTAATGAGGAAAAAAGTGTGAGTTAACCTTAGAGAAGGGTCATGCTTGGATTATTAGTGTTTTTTTCTAAGGGGAAAAAAAAGTATGTAGTAGTAAACAGAATTTGTAGCTTCCATAGAATATGCATTATGCCATGCCACCCAGCGAGGTGAGCGTAGGCGCCACATAAATGATAACTGAAATCCCAGAGGGTTTCTGCTTCACCTTCTTTCTCGAATGTGGGTGAGGCCCAGTCATTTGTGTAAGGAGCTATGTACCATGGGTGCCTTATTCTGACATCTGTCTCTTCATTCTAGAGTTACCTGATTTAATTTACCGCCTCACCTTTTTATGGTGCTCTGAATTCCTTTTCATCTCTTTGTTCTACTTGGAATGTCACAATTTATAATTCGATAAACGACACATAATTGCTTCTTTGCCGGCCCTCAGCAGGCAGCCCTTTGTGTTAGTTTTCCGAAGGAATCTAACCAGACTACTCTCCACATCCCTGCTCTTCACATAAACAAGGATTCCAAGCAGTGTAATGTTACACAGTGGGAGTGGCCCAAGGTTCTCTCTTGCCAGCCCCTCCCCCAACACAAATTGGGTACATTTTCCATGCCCTGCCAAGTTTTTACCCTGGAGTCCAGTGTAGCAGCCTGGCTAGAAACCCCTGCAGAGTAGGGGCAGTTTTGGGGTGAAGGGGAGGAGGTGTTTAAATGAAAATGCTGACACAACCTTAAGTACAGTGGCGCGCTCCCGGGTGCTGCTATAATAAAAAAGGGAACAGATTAAAAAGTGTCTAAAATGTAAATCTAAAGGACTAACAGTAATTAAAATGGAAATGGCACAGGGAGGGAAGGCATGTAATTGTGAGATATCACTGTGCAGAAGGCTCTCAGCTTTGTTTTGCTGGCTGTTTTTCTAATTCAGCAGGGCTTACTCATCAGTGGCAGTTCAATGCGCGTTAATGACTCTGGGATTGCAGGCATCACTCTGGACAAAGAAATGATTATTGTGCGGTCAAAAGAAGTTCAAAGACAAGAAGGGAATTTCAGTTTTTTCCTTAGAGATCCACATTCAAGAGCATATAAATTAAGCCAAATGTTAAAAACCACAGTCTGAAAGCTGACTTCAAAGTCACAACTCTCTAATTAATGAACTGCGAGCTTCAGTTTGGACAAGTTGTGGTTTGATGCGCCCATAAATCAACATGACAGGCCTGTTTCACAGTCTCAGACAGTGCTTGTCATTGAGTCACATCAGATGTAAACACAGCAGAAAAAAGAAGGGATATGAAGGAGGTGCAATTGATCAACAGAATTGGTAAAAACCCACTTTTGAAGCACATTATGCATGATCACAGGAAATGGTTACAGCCTCAAGAGGTTTCCCCTTCTGCTGTTGCTTTTTTGAATCAGATTTCTAACAGCCTTCAAAAGGGAGAATAAGAATTACGGAGTTTCTCCCCTGTGGTTCGCAGGCAATAACCCCCTGTTGTTATTTTGTGCTTCTTTCTTTTCAAAGGCATCAAAATTTAGTTTTTTAAAGATCTTTAACTCTATATTTGAAGACAAACAAAAAAGGGCTGCCACTGTCATTCTTATCAGTTACCAGGGATTGTGTTTTTCCTTTCTGTTGCCACTTCTTATTAACCTCTTATTTGGTCTGTTAGACATAGTTTGGAATGCACATCTGCATGCTGGGAGAACATGAAAGTTCAGATGAGCTCAGAGGGCAGATAAAGGAATGGGAAGGGGAACGGTACACAGCAGAAGGAAAGATAAAAGTTAATTCTCACAAATTGCTGTTGTCAGGAAGGGGAGCATCTCGGGAACACAAAGAGGATGGAAGTGTCTGAGTTTGGGAAGGCAGTAGGAGAGGAAAGGGGATACTTTGTTGTGTCTGACCGTGGTAGCATTTCTTCTGGACACCAGGTTTACTGTAGTCACACTTCGTCATCCATTCCGCAGGCAAAGGTGACACAAGATGACACGTTGCCTTCAGTATCCTTGGAAGTGGGTTGACCAGCAGACTGGTCTCATTGGAGTTCACTGTGTGTTCATTGTGCCAGTGGGTTTGGCCGAGACCTGTTTATAACAATGTCTAGAAGATCCGTATTTTCCTTTCGTTAAGGGGGTAGTCTCCTGATATTATCATGCAGGTGGTGGCCCTTTTGTGCTAAAATGAAATAGAGTCACATGGTAGCAATTTCATGATGTGGACGGGTGATTATGATTTTAACAAGGTTTGAACTTGGATGTTGACAGATGGAACAAGTATATTAATTTACTGAATCCCCCAGTCATTAGTGGCTCATAATTTTGTATCGCCGCGTTTTTTTTTTTCCTCCCCCTCCTCTTTTTCCCTTTCTGATTACCTCTGCAGTAAGATAGTTAATCCTTGGCTAGAACAATATACCTTTGCTCTCATTTTTCCTAAAGTTGCTTCCAAATGTTTCCTTCAGAAAGTTTGGCCCCCACATTGAGTTAGACCTAAGACCTTCCTTAGAAGATAGATGCTCTTGGCCCAGGAGGGTCATGTAGGCCAGTACAGCTGTTGAAGCAACTGCTTGTTAATAGTTGACAGAACTGGTGTGGAAAATAGACGGCAGAATTAATTTTAAATCAGGCAACAAGGAAGAGCTCATCCTGTGTGGGTGAGCTAGACGAAGTTGATTGTTTTAAAAGGGCCGTTTGTCCTGAGCAGTTATGACAGTTTATGTTAGGCAGTAGGGAGTAGCCGAAGAAAGGAAAACAGACCTTTGACTTCAACCGTAGGGAGGGGATCCGAAATGCAAGGTTTATCAGGGCATTTTAGCATTTTAACACTGATGACTGACCTGTCGAGGGGACTGCATGGAGACCTTTTTTGTATGCATTCAATTGTGAGAAGTAAACAAACGAGCTCGTATCCTGTGTTTGGTAACTGGGTGGGGAGCACAGTTTGGCAACCAGTGTTGCTTTTAAATTCTTTCTTTGGACAATGGGCCTTGTATACTTTTATATCCTGGGCTTTTCAAATGTGGAGAGCTTTCATGAGCTTTTCCTAGGGATGGCTGCAGAGACAACAGAAAAGGCATCATTCATTTTATATAAATACAGGATTTTTAAACATTTCATTTACAGTAAGACAGGAGCACCCTCCCCAACCTCTAGCACACTCCCCCCCATTACATTCTACTTTAGGAAGATCTAATTCCCCAATCTTTTACATTAAGTCAGGGTTTTTTTTTTTTCCTCTTCCCCCCCCTTTTTTTTTTAATATAATATGAATTAATATCTGTTGAAGAAGTGAAAAAATCATTTTGACATGAATATAACTATCATTGGGTTTCACATTAATGTGATAACTTGGGAAGGGGTGAAAACAATTGGATCATTTTATGCATGCTGTTCTTAAAATGAAAACACTGGCTTTTCATTTAAATTTATTTAAATTTTTGTTGTTAGTGGTATAGCATTTGTTTTTTGGAGTGAAACTCAATTAACTTTCTCAGTGGCATGGTAGTAAGTCTGAAATTGGTTGCTAATATGAGAATGATGGTTTTTACTGTAAAATAAACTACATGGAGACCAAAAGGAAGCCGCCATTTTTCTCTTCCTTTGAACTTGGCATCAGAAGGTCCTGATATATATACCATTTCAGGGATGTATCAGATAAAAGTAATGCGTCAGGTCAAGAGAATGTAGTTGTTTGTAAAGTATCCTTTTTAAGCCAAGCATAAAGCTCTCAATGGGTTGGACAGTCCTTTTAGTTGCTGACGTCACGTCTCTGATGTTTAGAATAATTCTTAGATTTAATGAAAGTTGCTCTTGTTCTTTTCTTGAGAAATCTTTTTTTTTTATTTGGGGTGTGGTTGGGGGCTACAGTTGGGGAAGAGTTAAATTTCCTTTCATAATTGTTAGCCATAATGTGGCTAAGACCTCCACCTTGATATGATTCCTAGCAGATTAAGGATATTAGATAATTTCCTTCTATTTATTGTACTACTGCACTGTATTATCTTTCTATCACTCAGATAATTACTAAGGAAATCTACATTAATTTTTTTTTGGCTGGAGCAAGGCCTGCTAAACACAGGCATGATGTATTGATGTTTTACACAACAAAAGTTTTCCTCCTGTCATTGTCCAATCATGAAAAGATATTTATCATATTGCAAAGCCCTTCTTTTCCAAGAACAAAGTGGGTGGAGGGAAGCAGGACAAGCCACCAGACCTAGAGGTTTCTGAAACTAAAGCCAAGTTACAGCATCTGAAGCTGAAAGTCGCGTTCATATTACTAAACACTCCTAGTCAAGTACGATGTTGTTTGCTAAATTATTAATGTGTGTAATTAAAATCTAGTGGCTGTTTCTATGAAAGATTTACAATGTTATTTCATCGTTTGTCATGGCTAATTAACAATATTAGATGAAGTTTTTCTTCTTCAAAGGTCTGATTTTTTCTCATTTATTTATGTCAGAAGTGATAAACAGAGTAGTTAAAAGCTTCTGCCGGTTCAGGAGGGAGGAGGGCAACTCGTTCTTTTACACCTTGCAAGTTCAGGGTTCAAATCCCCCTAGATGAGTGTAATGCCTATTCCTTGCTAGCATGAATAATTACAACTTACGAAGTGCAGAAGTTTATGTCTTGACCACAAATCTCAGCCTTTTCACAGCTGGCATGATTAAGGAGTTATTTTTCAGTGGGAGCAGACAGCCTCTTACCCCTCACCCCTCTTCATTGGTGATACAGTCTGTCCCTTTTAAGCCAGTCTTGACATTGAGCCCTTCACTAATAACATCTAGTGACTCTTCTCAGTTCTTGACAGTGATGATGGTGAGTTTGGAAACACCCAGACTTTTAACTTACATTGGGAAATGGCCATATCAATTTTTTTTTCCCTTCTTCCTGATTTCTTACAGCAACAGCAGGTGGCTACCCAGCAGTTGGCTTTTCAACAGCAGCTTTTACAGATGCAGCAGTTACAGCAGCAACACCTCCTGTCATTGCAGCGCCAAGGCCTTCTAACAATTCAGCCCGGGCAGCCTGCCCTTCCCCTCCAACCTCTTGCTCAAGGTATGTACTGATTATCCAGAAGGCACAGCTCTATGGAGACTTTGTGCAGGCATTGGGGTGGGTCTCCTAGCATTATTAAGGAAATTGTCCCTTTAAAACATGCATATGGAAACTTAAAAATAAACTCAATAAGGTCACGTTGGACCCTTTGAGAAGTTAAAGTACTTGTTGATGGCAAAATGAAGACTAAGGTAGTCTGCAGGCTTAGCAGTAGCAGAGCCATCCCACTGTTGCATGTTCTTGTCATAAAGGAATGAAATGCTTCTAAGTCCTTATTGGGCATTTTAATTGAGCCTTCTAGCATTTTCACTTAGGAATCACATACGACTTTTCTTAAAGGCTTTTATTAGTCATTTTAAGACATACTTGAGATCATGTAACTTGTTCTATTTTAAACCTTAGTAATATTTTATAAATGCCACTTTTTAGAAACACATCTAAGGAACATTTAGGTTCGCTTTTCTGTGAACTATTAAAAATCACTCTTTTTTGTGTTAATGAAAGCCAAAGTTGTGGGCTTTTATTGTTGATTGGTTGGTTGGCTTGCTTGCTTACTTTTTCGAGAAAGACTTACTATTGATGTTTGAGCCTATTAATTCTAGACTCATCAGAACAAGAACCATTTCACTCTCCAGTTCTTCAAAAACTAGGGTTTGTTGGAAAGTAACAAGATGTTACAGGCTTTAGTGTGAATTACTTTTGAAAGCCATTGATGTTTTATTCTGAGGTCGTTGGACATCAGGAACAAATGAGAACACTAGCTGGTTTTAGGAAGTCTTATTGGTTCAAGTAACTCTGCCTTTCACATATGTAATTTGCATTTTTTATTTAGAACTGGAAAGGAGAAAGAAGAAAATGGAATACATGCCCATATTGTAAAATACACTTTCCCATCCTTACATGGTACAGCAGATATCAGTTGCCTCCTGTAGGCTTCCAGGTCTTTTCAATTCTAATAGTTGTGCTTTAAAGGCTAATAGGGTGAAGCCTTTGGCATCTTGCATTCGGATACCTTCTAAAGAAGGTTGAGTGAGAATATAGAACTTCTTCCACCCTTCATGTTGGTAAGGCCACAGTCATTTGTTTAGTAATTTTGGTATAAAGTGGATCCAGTGAGACATGTCTGCATTTGAATTTTCTCTGTTGAGCCAACCACATCCAGCCTCTGTCCCTTCTGAGTTGTTTATTTTTTATTTATTTATTTTTTAATGTTGCCACTACGACATTTCCCTCTTTAGCTTCCCTCTTGTCCCTTCTCTCATTTCTGCCATTACTGCTCAAATGCTTGGTACGTAATCGGCATCTCCCCCGTTGCTGTCAAAGTAGAAGGTTTGGTACCTGAGCAATGCAAGGGGAAGAGAAAAGACACATCGGCTAATGCATTTTTGTGCTCGCAAAATGTTATAACACGCATTAATTACACCTTCGGGTTTATTGTTCAAAACATTGCAGGCTGCTCTGACACACCCACTGGACTCAAGCTTCAGCCTTTCTCATCTTTTCCCACCGCTCCTATACTATTAAGTTTGCTCACTAAGGTTCATTGTTATAGTACATCAGTAAAGCTGTCCAAAAGAGGGCAATTGGGCAGTGACAAGACAAGCTCATATGTAATGTGAAAGAAATGAATGTGGTGATGCATGAAGTGTAATCTCTGCAGTAACATATCAGAGACACTGGTAGGTAATTCACTAGTCATGGCATTGATTGATATGCTTAGCAGTCTGCTATAACTATTAGCCCTGCAACATTAGGAAGAAGCATATTTAAAATATAAGGGGTGCCTATGTCTGCCCAAGATAGCATAAACGTAAATGCAAAGGTTTCTGGAGTAAGATTCTTGCAATTAAATGAGCTACCTGTGTTACTGCCATCTCTTGTGAATCTGGAGCTTGGTTTTATCCCCTCACCCCATGCCCAAAGTGGCCTGAGAATTCAGTCATGTTGGACTATAACCCGGTATTTTTTCTTTTTTATCAGAGAGATGATGGTTTAAAACTGATGTCATTATGAGGTTTAAATCAACTTTCTGCTTGCTTGAACATGGTCACCTGGGTATGGATGTACAAGGACAAAAAAAGGTTGATCAACTCTGTTTGTCTTTGAGCCAGTGATACCTGGGTTGTAAAATTGAGTTCCATGAACAGTAATCTGTCAACTGTCCCCACAACATACATTTTTTAAACCTGTGCCTGAATTTTCTTTTATAATGAAGGGGCCAGTTGTCCTGGAAAAAGAAATGTAACAAAGCACAGAGATTATGCCTTTAAAAAGCTGGTAGTGCTTGCTTCGTAATACAAATACTGAGATTCTTTTGCATACCTACTCACAGCTTTGGCTAAGTTACCTTAAAAACAAATGAAAACAACAGTACAGGAATAGATAAAGTAATATTTTGGAAGCCTTTATTTTTCCTGAAGGTTTTATATTAAGAAATGGAGGAGTTTTTTTATGGTGGTTTTTTTTTGGGGGGAGGTTTGGTTTGGTTTTGTTTTTTAAAGTCACAGTAGGGCCTTCTTTCTGTTTTACATAATCAGCATACCTCTTTTCCACCTTGGTCTTTTTAAACATCTAATTCTCCCCAGGTCACAGTAGAAATATACTTTGAATATCATTCTGGCCTCTCAATTTTTAAAGTGTAAACTATTGATAGGGGCACATGACCTACTTGATTATGTACCTGCTAATGGGTTGGGCAGTCTACTTCGGTAGTGATACTGCCTCGGAAACCCAGGGAGGGGTCGCTGTGATTCAGGGCCGACTCGACAGCGTATAACAACAACAATACATTTGTGTAACTTGGTACTCTTCTGCTACCATTTTGGAAGAAATGCTTGCTTTCTGGAAATTTGATATCCATTTAGTCTGAGTGACTGACTAACCTTTTGTGGGTCTTAATTGTATCATAAGGCTGTGGCTGTCAATAACAGCATCCTTTGGTAGATAGTACTCATTGAACTAACCCTTTAAAACATCTCTAACAAGGTATAGCAGTGATAGAGTGATTTGACAACCTTTCTATAAGTAGGATGAGAAAGTTCTTAAAGTTAATTATCACATGGAAATTTGACCTAGAAGTACCACTGTTGTCCTTCGATGAGACTGTTTTATTTACCATTTCTCCCTTTTTATGATAAACCGGATTGGCTAGCCTGTTGGCCTACAAGGAGAGAGTAGCGTAATGTTACTGTACTTTGTAGATGTAACAAGTGGTAAATACATTTGTCTTTGTCTTTCTCTGCTGGATAAACAGCTTTCTTAAAACAACTTCAAAGTTCTGCCATTCTCAGAGAGGAAAAGTGTTAACACAGTTGTTAAAACCATGTTCTTCTTGTCTCCTCACCTCAGGTGCAAAAACCCATTGTCTTCAAGTCACTTGCAACTTATAACGACCTCCAGTGCAACTGACCCAGAAATCAATTAGTTAGGGTTGAAAAATAGATGGCATGTTCTTTTCATACACGTTCACTGCCTAGAAAATAAAAATAGGTGTTGACTTGTGTGGTTTTATATCAATTTGCTATCATCAACAGACAACAAGCCTATTCGCTATTGTTTCATTTGAGTAAACAGTGGGCTGAGGGTCAGCCATGTTCACAGGTAATTGTTGGTGTGCAGACATCGCTGGCAGGCCTGTTAGCTCCAGGCACATCCCACATGTCACTTTGCAAGGTGTTTGAAAATAATAGCCCAGATGCAGCAAAACCGGACACGGGATTGTGTAGTGACCTTTTCCTTTGTTTAATTTGCCTCTAAGGTTTAATTTCAGAGGACAAGTAATAATTGAATATGGCTAATAACTAAATGCTCATTTGGGACAAAATCCATCAAAATATAATTGGCATTTGATTTTTATGAAGGGGGAAGAAACCCGACTCGGCTGTCGAAGATTCATCCTAAGACTATCTGACCACTTACTGTATCATCTGAAGCCTCCTTTAAATATATATTAATTGCAAATACTTGAACATTTGGACATTTTCGAGTAGAACTGTTAGGGAGAGACCAACTGTTTTTGTTAACGCTACTCTCAGAAAGGCGGGGAAGGTTATTGGTCTGCTGTGCAATAATTTACTCCTCTTTGATATGCAAACGATCCACGGTGAATATAAAAAAATCCTATCAGACTCATTTCACAGTTCTTAACCACTCGGATTCTCTGGAGTCCATCGCCTCATTAGACCAGTGCTCTCCAATGCTAGCATAATTAAAATCTTTAACAGTTTAGCAAAGTAAAGATGTTTGGCTGATCACGTTGAGATGATTATCTATCCATTGTATTTTAAATGACAAAAATAAATTAAATTTAGACCTTGGCATTTTTTATTATGTGTTTCAAATGAATATAATGCACACAGCCTTCTTTTTTAATTCAATACCTGAGGTTTGTTGAGAAACATGCCTGTTTCAGCTGATGCTATGTAGTCAGAAAATGGCAGGCTTTCCAGGATGGCTATGGTACAGTTGAGTGAAACAATGAACTGTAATCTAGACGTCCAGTTCTAATGTAGGATTGCTTTATGATGTACAGGGTTTATGACTTTTTTTTTTTTTTTTAGTACCCTATCAAAAGAAGGTGCTGCTATTTTGTTGTTGTTGTTAATGGCCACTAAGAATATTTTTCTTCCCTGCATGTATGGACTGGAATATGCATTTAGGTAGGATTTAGAAATCCTAGGCTATGGCAGTGTGCCCCCAGAATAAAGGTTAAGAAGACCACAGTAGTGAAATTGACATCCTGATTGTATCTCTTTTTGGGGAAATACACTTTTTCCTTAAAATCCATGTCCATTTTGACCCCCTTGAAACACAAGGTAACTTTATTACTCCAAGTTTATTTTACATTTTCCTTTTGTTCTGAAATGGTTCATTAACATTGATCTAGGAAGTGACAGTAATAATAGTGTTACTTGTATAAAAAGTTATACAGTTTTTCAGTAGACACATCCATCAATTAAGCATGCGGTACTAGAAACCAAAATTAATGAGGAAGATAGGTGTGTTAATGAAATAATCATAGTATAATCAATTTGACTGTTAAAAGTTGAAAAGCATTTCAGGAAGACGATAAGAATTCATAATTTATGTCTAAAAGTGATTAATAAAAACTATATTTAATAACAAAGCTATTTGTCATCATTTAAGACTTAAGCACAAAAATTATTCATTTTTTGGTTCATGTTGTCAAAATAGTATAGCTGAACAAATTTAGTTTGAGCCTTTCTTTGTGTCTAAAAATAAGAGAACAGCTATCTACTTTCCCTTCCCCCCAAAATCTGAGAAACATTTTAGATGCGAAGTACCTGCATTTGAATCCTTTTCTCAAGTGTATTTTATGTGTGATGAGGATACTTCAATTCTGCTACTCAGTAGGAGAACACTGTTCTTATTACCGTATTTGTCTTAGTTGGGAGAGGAGAAAAAAAATTGCGTGTGCACACACACACACACACACACACACACAAAAAAACCCTAACACTAGGCTTTGTTTACTGACTCTTTGATTTAATTACTGTTTGAAGAGGACAGAATTAGCTGTTAATTGATTTAATTATCCAATTTGTTTGTTTCAGGCATGATTCCAACAGAACTGCAGCAGCTCTGGAAAGAAGTGACAAGTGCTCATACTGCAGAAGAAACCACAGGCAACAATCACAGCAGTTTGGATCTGACCACGACATGTGTCTCTTCCTCTGTACCTTCCAAGACCTCCTTAATAATGAACCCACATGCCTCTACAAATGGACAGCTCTCCGTCCACACTCCCAAAAGGGAAAGGTAGGGACCAGCCGCTGAGATGTGTCCAAAGCTGTTTTTAATATGGGTAGGGGTGGGTGGCCTTGCTGCTCTCTATCTCAGTGATCCTAAATTGGATCCATGTGACTTGAATGTGCATATAATTACTTAAGAATTTATTCATTGTAGTTAGGGTGTGGAGCATCTAATTTTTTCACTTTTTCAGTATGGACTTAGCATTAGGATAGATCTCTCTACACTTAGGAACCTGGGCAGCAGTCTGCTTCTCATTGGATGAGTTGGATTTCAAGGCTTTCTGCCTTACTCTTTCTGCCAGACAGTGCTCACTCCGATCAAGCTGAATTCCTTGGCTATAAATGCTTCTGTATGGAGTAGTAGTAGTAGTGTCTGCTGCGGACAATTTTGAATCACACTTTGAGAAAAGCTGGAACTTGTATTATTCTTGAGTGCCCTCCTGGAGGGCAGGGAGCTCATCTTTTTCGTAGTTGTCTCCAAAGCACATGTCTTTCTCACTCTCAGGTCTTCAGTAAAAGTCTAAAGGATGGGGAGATAGAACACAACACATCTTCTCCTGATCATGGACTATAGTGTCCTGTTGTCTCAGCTGATCATGGGATATTATGGGATATATTGTAGCATTGTCTCAATTACTGTATTCCTATTTGGAAGTTGGAAATTAAGACTTTTTTTTTTTAATTGCCCTGATCATCACATGAATGTTAGTTGAAGCTGAGGTTGTTTTTAAAGATCTAAAGTACATAGTGTTAGTATGGCATTCTAAGAAAATGAAGCTGTTAATAAGTGTTATGATATCTTAACACCAAGAAGCATTAATGCATTAAAACCGTTGGTGAAATGCTTTTCAGAATGGAATATATAATATTCTTAAATTAAAAACTTACTTCCTGTTTGCTTATTTTTAAAAGTTATGTCTGTGTATTTCATATGTAGGGTTTTTTTTGCAAGCAAAGGAAAAGAAACCTTAAAAGTGATCATTATTCTATCAGGAAAAAACAAATTCTGTATTGTTTTTTAATAAAGATGACTCAGGGAAAAAATTCCATTATATTTTTCAGGTAAGTAATCACAAATACAGTATCTCAGAATATTGAGAAATACTAAGTCTACCGCTTTAATAAGATGTGTATCTTTTGTACCTGTAAAATAGTATCTATTTAGAAATTAGTAATCACAGGAAATATTATTTAAAAATAAATATATGTATGCACACACACACACACACACAGTAAATCCTGTGAGAGCCAAAACTCAACAGGAATGCTTTGTTTTTCTGGATCGCACAACTTTTCCACCATTGACAGGGTTCAGTCTTATCACTTTCTGTTGCTCATGTCAGTGGAAGATACTCCAGTTTTCCTTCTCTGATGGGTTTCTGCCTTATATAGGTTCTAGATTTCACAGGTTTTAACTGTGTGTGTGCATATACACATAGACACTCACACACATACTGTATTTCAGTATAAAACCATGAGTGGTTCCCAGAGATATGGGTAATAGATGTGTTTTGAGCAAAATTACAATTACTCTTTTTAAAGTAGTTTAGAAACTTCTGTGGGGCGGGCCTAAGAAGAACTCAAAGATGCTTTAAAAATATTGGCTTAGTAGAGTTTGAGGGAGCTCTAGTGGTGTAGTGCCTAAGGCACTTCACTGCTAACCAGAAGGTTGACAGTTCAAACCCACCAGCCACTTCTCGGAAGGAAGATTGGGCAATCTACTTCCATAGAGGTACTGCCTCGGAAACCCAAGGAGGTGTCGCTGTGAGTCAGAGACGACTCGATGGCACATAACAATAACAACAACAGTAGAGTGTGAAGAAGAGAATGGTGGACAGTAGGACTTACTTTGGAGGCACTGGGTAAAATATGGCTTTAGTTGTTCCCAGTAAGGATAGATACATATGTCCAGAGATGAATCTTAACCTCTTGCCTTGAAGTCTCTTACTATGTCTTTATTAATCCCCCTCCCCCCACAGTAGAAAATCTTATATAGCTGTAAAGGAAAGGTTCTAGGCTGTTCTTTGCTGTACTTGCTTTTGACGTCCTAAAGTTGGTGCCGTCCCTCCATTTACTGCAGAGTGATTGAATTACATCTTTATCCATAGGCAGAGCAGTGACCATAGGCTGAAAAATGCCGACTGATGTACTTCAGGTATTTGTTGCAATATTATCGGTCATTGTGGAGCCTGCACAGATTTCTTGTGACACAGACAACTCTTCTTGTTTAGTTGTGTTGTGCTCAGTTTCATTCTAAAAGGATCTATATCTACAGTCAGGTGATAGATTAGCAATGAGGCAGGCAGGAGAAGAATAGCCCTTTTCAGGGCTGAAGGCACATTTGAAAGTAAATGGATCTAAGAGACAATCTGATTCCAAGAGACTAAGTTTGTTTGATTTTTTTTTTTTTTTTTTTTTTTTTAATGGTCCTTACTTGTCTGCAGTATAAGGAACTCTGGTAGTGTGGTGCCTAAGGCATTTGATTGCTAACCAGAAGGTTGGTGGTTCAAACCCACCAGCCACTCCATAGAAGGAAGGCTGGGATATCTACTTCCGTAAAGATTTATTGCTTCAGAAACCTGAAAAGGGGGTCACTGTGAGTCAGAATCGACTCGATGGCAGTGAGTTTGGTTTTGGCTTCATTTATTTGTCTGCACAAAAATTGAGCTTAATCTTCTTTATACTACATGCCAAAATTAGAATATGGATCAGAAAAGAATTCAAATTCCAATGATCTTTACTCAATCTGGATATAAAAACAGATTGAGTCTCCCAGCTATACAAGGCAAAGAAGAAGAAACTACAGAATTATATACCACTGCTTAATCTGTTGAATCTCTCCGTTTGTATTATCTGTTACGTTCCTAGGTGTGTGGGGATTAAAAGACACATTTTGGTAATTAGCATATTCTAGCTGATATAGCCAGCAAGACAGATGAGTACCTTAAGTTACAGATAATTCAAAAGTTTTAAGGTTCTAAGATTGATCATAGCAAATTAAGTATTATCCAGCTTTGCGTATATATAGTAAGTGCTTAGAATAAATATTAAGGAGCCCTGGTGGCACAGTGGTTATGTGCTTAGCTGCTAACCAGAAGGTTGACAGTTTGAACCCACCAGCCTCTCAGAGAGAGAAAAATGTGGCAAGCTGCTTCCGTGATGATGACAGCCTTGGAAACTCAGAGTTTTTCCCTCTGTCCGATAGGGTCATTTACGAGTCGGCATTGAGTGAATGGCAGTGGGTTTGATTTTGAGTTTAGAATAAATATAATGTTACATTACTTTATTAAAGTTAATTTTAAAATCACATACGGTGATATCCTCTTTAAATAGTAGAAAATGGTTTTTAAAAAAGAAAAGTAAAGCTTTCACTATAAAAGTATGTTCTCACTTATACATTGAGCTATCGTCTGTCTTGGGTTCCTTGCCAGTGCCTTAGTGAAGTTTCATCCCACATTCACCAGTGCATTTGTGAAGTTTATGAGACAGCCAACCATGTCGTTATTGTTCGTGATTGTGTATTATTCTTTTCTCCATTCTCATGGAACAGAATTCAAACAAGCAAGATCCCCCGGCACACTGAAGAATAATCTAGCCTCACAAACTCAGTCTTAGGTTAGCAGCATTAAGAATTCTTCCAGAAAGGATCTGTGAGTGCTCTGTGTGAAAATTTGTTAACCAAAGGTGGTGTTTTGAGCACTGCCTTATCTTGATATGTGAAGTAGTGAAATGTCCAGTAATGTACACTGGGTTGCATATTTCTGTGCAGTTTAGAATCCTCCTTCGTCCTCCCACTGGCCCCTGTGCATTCTGCTGGCTCTCATGAGCAGCCGCTGCAGCAGCAGCTCTGGGGGTTTGGTGAGCTGCAATCTGTTAAGGAGATAAATAATGTGCTTGGCACGACACTCCTACTCTCCTCTTTAATTTGTCTTACACAAGGAAAATTATAATTAAATCATTCAGGGTAAACCCTTGAGTGTAGAGAAGGGAAAAAACACACTTTGGTAAAGATTGCCAATAGAAACCCACTTCCCTGTTGGCGCTGGGTAAAGACATTTATCAATATTCAGCACTATTAAGGAACGAGCGGCCCATGTGATTTGTGAGGCGGGTGCCAAGGCTCGAATCATGGCTTGTTAAGGTCCTGTCCCTGTGCAGTCATAGTCACTCAGCATCATTAGAATTCAGGACTGGTGCCGTGCTCCTTGCTTTGATTTTCTTCCAGCAATTTAATAATGTTTATTGTACTGATTTTATATATATATATATATAAATTCAATGATGAAATAAACATACCTCCATTGTCAGAGCCTGACAGAAGTGTGGGTGGTGATTAAGGTCAGTGGGCAAGAGGCTAAGAGGAGCTGCAAGGGGAAGAATGCACTTTCATGCCATTTGCTGTCCTTTTATTCCACAGGAGCAAGGAGTCTTGACTTCTTACGTAAATAGACAGAACTCAGGCCTGGGATACCTGTAAATATGAAGATATTATCTTGTTTCCCTAACTTGTCCAACCTTTTCAATTTAGGAAATTCCAAGTTTTGGTATGGGTAAACAAAATCAACGAAATGCAAATGAAACATTTATTAAAATGCTAAATTTAGTTAAGCCTTTGAGCCTCTTGGATCAAAGCAGCTATGTAAATACAAATAGCAATTACTACTTAAGTAATTGCTTGAATTTAAATTCTAAATATCAAATTATATTATGATGCACTGGGAAAAGGGAAGGGAACTCACATTTAATCAGTTCCTTCACTATGCCAAGCACTTGGCTAGACTGCCTTATGGAGTGATGTCTCATTTTAAGCCACATGACCACCTGTGAAGTGGTAGAGAGTGTTACACCTATTTTACAGATGAGGAAATTGAGTCATAGAGATTAAATAACTGACCTATGGTTATAGAGCTGGTTAAAGGAATACCCAAAATCCAAATTCAAGTCTATCTTTTAGTTTATGTTACAGTATTTCACATTTCTGTTGAGCTTACAAGTGACTACTTAATT